TACCGAAAAACTAGGGTTGAAGCCAAGAGAAACTAGCATGCTCTCTTCAGAAGGTTTTGAGAGTATTCGTTAGAGATATCGTGTGTATCAAGTTAGAGGGAGGGTACTCGCGTATCATGTGATAAATCACGGCGCAATCAACAAGTCCTTCTATTTGGACGTGCAAAAGCCCTATCTATTCTCTCTGATGACTGGCCTCATTATAATTTTGTATGACTGTATTGACACCAGTTTGAAGACTGTCTTGATTCTAAAATCTAGAAGTTTCAAAAGTATCCATACCGAGAATGACTTGAACCCATGTTCCAATGTTTTAAATAAGAAAAGAAATTGTCGTAAGTTGAATTTCAATGCTTAGTGTACCCTCTTGAAAATAGAGAATTTCTTTGATCCACTCTAATCTGATAATTTTAATGCACAAAATATACAAAATCCGAAATACAATTGATAAAATACTGAAGAGATATTTATCTCTATTAAACAAGACTTTTTCTAGATTTTGCATGTATCCACTCCAATTTGTGTGAGAAAATTTTTAAAATTTTCATAAGGAGTTATTTATTGATATTACATGGTTGAATGATGACGTAGAATTAATTTGAAATGTATAGATCTGTGTGGATTAGATTTTGTGTGGATTATGTCCACTTTGACTCCCTTTCACTAATTCGCTGACGCATGGAGAATAAACGGTATGGGCGTAGAAGACTTCGAGGAAGTAGGCGCAATCAGAGAACTTCTACCGTAGGAAATTGATGCTTCGAAAGCTAGCAACAACGACCGAACGGATATTGAGTGCTGTCTCATTATATTCTTTCTAGAGTATATGAGAGGTGGGGGTCACTGGGCGATAGATACCACCAGCAAAGTTGTTCGTTCTTGTTTTTTAGCCTGTGGAGGGGGGCTCGACCAGGAATCTTCTTAACCTTTACTTCACTCTTGCTTGGAACTCAGCTTCATGTTGGGGGTAAGTGGAAAGGGAAAAACATGGGAAGATTCCATGTAAATCGAGTAGCACATAGGATATCGTAACTACATAAATCAAGGAGATGAGATGAGATTTCTCAGTAGACTTATGCAAGATTCTGAAGCTCTGTCGAGCAAGACTACATCGTTGGTTTGCAGTTTCGGAGATGCCTCGCCCAAAAGTGTGTTTGTGTTTCTTCAGAAACATCTACCGCCACTCGGAATCTGCTGAAGAAGTTGCATGAGGATGACTTGAGCGCATTGTAATGATTGACATGTTTTAGCACGCGGGAAAAGACATGCGCACAACCGTAACAGCGTAAAACGGATAGCGTCCCTGGGGAGTACTATTGCCATCATTCTTTAGATTGTTGCTGTTTGTAACTGCACGGACAAGTAGAATCAAAATATGGATCGTCCGAGATCTAAACGCGGAGACATTCCAGAGCCAGCTTACCGGTCATACAGAGTCTGCTTGAGTTGTAATCCAGTATTAGAAAATCATTGACAAAACTTCAGTACTTTTCATTTATTTCCAAGAAGGAATAACAGCTGCTTGTTACTCTATCTCATTAGGCTTGGAAGATGCTAGACTTGCCTGATAAATCTTCATGCAAGCGATGAATTCCGCGCCTAGTAAATGCTCGGAACCCATTTGAGGTTTACTTTTGTTTGTTTGTTTGTTTGCTGTGTAGGTACGATGTTATTGTTCCAACTAGTAGCTTTAAAGCATTTCTCAGTTTGAGGATAGGCGATATGAAGGTTCATGTATGATTTTAGTGAAGTAAGCACATGCTTTAGGATCAGGAGAGCATAAGAGAATTTTCATTTTATTTTTACGATATCAGTATCACGAACATGAAAGGAGAATTTGGAATAAATGCAACTTTTTCCTTCTCTAGGAAGTCGGCAGGTTCATTCCCAATAAAGCTTCCAGTGTCCTCCTGCCCTGGAAAAGACTCTGGACCTCGTTCATTCCCAATAAAGCTTCCAGTGTCTTCCTGCACGGGAAAAGACTTTGGAATACCGACCACCTTGGGTCACACGGGACTGTTGGTTTTCATTATGGTCCTGGCAAGGGAAAAGTGTGAAATGTTATGGGAGTAAAGAATGTCAAAGATCATGGAGTCCAGGATGGCGAGTGCGAAGTATCTCCTTCCCCCAGTCTTCAGGTAAATTTGAGTTAGAAAAAGGGATTATATAACTTGAAGGACAATTTTTTCCAAATTATTTAGATTCTTCAGTCTTGATCCCAAAGCTTAAAAAATTAGGAAGAAAGCAAAAAATAATGCTCAGTGAAAATTGGATGGACGCAATTTCTTCTGATTCACGTTGCGTCGCCGAGAGAGACAGCTCTACTTCAACGTCTACGCTGAATCCATTCCAAGTGGATTAAAGAAAGTATGAGGAGCACACTATTAACACTTTTCAAAGTTCGGGATCCGCATCGATTTGACTGCACTAAAGTGAAATAACGATTGACCCTAGAGTGAACGTCACAACAGGTCTTTTGTTGGGTGAGATATTTCATGTTAATATTACAACAAATTATGAGTGAAAAGAAACCCATATAAGTATATATCTTATAAGTCCATATTAATGTGAAATACCATGTCATCTTCAGAGTAAATAGGAAAAACATGTGATTCTAAATAATCACACAAATTTCTTATAGAGCACTGAATTGATATCCATGACATATATTTAAAAAATTATGTAATTTCGATATATATATGCATGATTAAGATACATTTTGCCATATCTTTCTTTCTTTTATTTTGTTTATAGAATATATCTTCGATGCCAAGCTCCATTCAGCCATGCAGTTATAGCCGGCATAACGGTGGTCTCCGTTGCCTAGTCCATCACATCCACCATCACGTCGAGAGATTTAAGACAACTTCTGTACACCACACGAGCGCATTTCGCTCATCGCATGACAAACCATCCACATTTTAGAGAATTACATCCACGAATGCAACGACACCTTCTTTCCCGATACCCAGGCACTGAGCAAGCACTGGTGAAAGACCTAATCATGGTCCGCTTGTGACTGACGCATCAACAACCTTATTAAGTCACAGCAAACAGCACATGGGCCTAACCCATGGTGGGGTAGCTCCGACCCTCGGCCCTCGGCATTTGTGCTGTATAGGCCTTCCCTCTCTGTTTGCTGGTTTTGAAGCTGTTCCCAACCGATTTTTATCTGATCCATTTTTAGCTTTTTCTTCCTGACGGAGCTGAGTACGGTATTCATGCAACGGAAAGAGCGAGGTACTGCTGTCATACGGTCCCTGCGAGCCTCCAGAGCAGGTTTCGGCGATCAGGAAAGAGCGCCAGACTAGTGGAGATCTCCCAGTAGGTGGTGTCTCCACTAGTGGGCTTTTTGGCCGACCTGCTATTTGATTCGAAATATTCGGGGAAATTCTCCGCCGATTACGTCGGTCGGTATATCGAACATCATGTGAACTCGTATTTAAACGCCGGGACTTTCACAGCCGTCGATGAAGATCTGCTTGTTTGAATGGTCTGTTTCCAGAGATTCGGCAACTGAAAGCGTACCCCGTCCAGAGGAGACGGGAAGAGAGGAAGACTGCCGTCGAGGTTCCCGACTGCCGTGGGAAAGGTGCTCACGCAGTTGCGCGGCCGGCTGGAAAGATTAGCGGGTGGCATCATGACCGCGGCTTTGATTCCAGGCGTCCCCCTTACTGCAGCGACGACGGCATCATGAGCCGCAGGATTTCACTTTGGACCTCGATCGCTCTCCCTGGCGTCTGTTTTTGGGACACTGGAAATTCGATGCGGAAAATCCAAACAGCGGCAGACTTCTCGTTACGGACGCAAGATATTTCGGCGACCAACACCCACCGTGCCTGCGCATACTTTCATCCTTCATGACTCGAAAAGTGCCGACCATCGAGGTCGTGTCGCCGTCAAAATCGCCCTCTCCCCGAGCTCACAACTGGCACCGGCAAAAATCTTGCTGCTGCGGGCTTTAACTGGAAAAATCATATCGCAATTTTTGATTATTACCAATAGTTGCTTTCGATCGGAAGATCGAAAGCAACTGCTTCCTTGTATTGGCCGTCGACACTACTCTGAAACGAGACCCGATTATTACGAACTTGTCCTCATTTACATCACATTTATTTTTCGATATAAAAACGTATCTTTCCTTTTAGTGGTAGATGTCGAGAGTACTCAATAGTGCGAAGCGGGAAACCGGTGACGTGTTCGTCTTTAAGTAGATGATTTTTTTCTCAAGCGAAAAAAGTCTTTGAATACCTGCTTTTTGGCTGTGGCTGTCGTAAGGACTGACTAGTTGACCTCATGGCTAGGTCCCAACAAATAGTTTAATTATTCACGAGATCGGAGGGCTTGCGGATAACAAAAAATACGCCCGTACAAGGAGTGAGATCAAGCAGTGATCTGATAAAATTGGAACGATACAGAGAAGATTAGCCCTGCGCAAGGATGACACACACAAATCGAGTGACATTCCGAACATGTTCCCGGGTTAACACAGTACCCGTGACTAAAAAAAGATTAATATTTTTTTCAAACCGTGGGCTCCAAGATTCTTGCCAGTTGCGCAGCTTTAGGAAGTGGAGGCCGGTGCGGCCGGCTACGCAGTCGAAGTTGAATCGGGAGCGACGGATGGACGTCGTGTGAAGGACGGAGGTGGCTCAGGGCCCGGTGACGAGGTCAGCCGGTGCTCAGCCGCTCCTGATCGGCAAAGATACGCCGACGACGAGAAGGGACTCGCATACCGGAAAGGAAGCGAAGGTAAAGGAAAGGAAAGGAAGGGAAGCGAAGAGAAGCGAAAAGTGCGGAAAACATTTCGAGGCCGCCTTCTGCAAGACGCCTTCAGGCGAGAAGCAAGGAAGCGCCAAGTACTACTTTGACTAATCTCCGGCCTTTCCTTCCGGAAGGTCAGGTCAGCTCGGCTCGGCTCGGCTGGACTCGGGCTCAGGCTCCGCTTATAAATAGAGCTGAGTTACCGGAGCGGGTTAGTGTCCGGTTGAATTGAAGTACGAGAAGGAAGGGAGGGAGAGAGAGAGGGAGGGAGGGCTTGTCCTTATGAGGTCTGCGGGAGTGTGATGACTGCGAGACACGATCCGTAAGCACGAATTCTTTACAAAAGGGGCTGATCGCGGCTGTCGTGCTTTAGAGGCGTTGTTAAGGAGGAGGCGCGGATCGGAGCGCGAGCGACGGGAGGGGAGGAAGGGAGGGGAGGGGAAGGGGCAGGAGGAAGGGAATTTTGGTGGAGGAGGAATTGGGCGATTGGCGACGAGGAGCGGGAAGGGAATTCGTCGAGCGGCGGGCGTTTCTTGGGGGCGGAGGATTGACAGGGTTGAGGACGAGTGCGAGTGCGTCAGAATGGCGGACGGTGTGGGAGCCGAGAATCTGGTGCAGGAGCTGCGGGACGTGTTTGCCACCGGGAGGACCAAGAATTTCAAATGGCGCGTCGAGCAATTGCGAGGATTGGCGCGGTTCGCCTCCGAGATGGAGAAGGAAATTTGCGAGGCCGTGCACAAGGATCTGAGCAAGCCGGCGTTCGAGTGTTACACCTCCGAGGTCGGTTGATTGGGCTAGCTGGATCTTGTTCAGCTCGACGTTTGTTTCTCGTCTGCCGCAGGTCGTTGATTTTGATGCTCGCTCCGCCTCGCGACGGGCCTTTCTATGCGAGAGGCGTCGAAGCTTATGGATATCTCGAGTCGCTTGGATTGGGCTGCTTGTTTTTCCTCTTCTTGCCCCGCTTCTCAGTCTCTGATTGCGGCAGAGGCCGCGCGCGCGCAATTCTAACATTGGACTGTTGGCGCGAAGATGCTCGCAATTTGACTCTGACAGTAGAGATGGTTGTGGATATGGTTTGGCAGATCGCGACTCTTGAACGCTCTGCCAAAGATACCGAGAAGGACCTGCCCAAGTGGATGAAGCCACAGAAGGTACGCGTCATTCAGTCCATCTCTCCTCGTGATACTGACAGAATATCTGCCCCTGCCGGACGTGATCCAAGGTCATGCCAATTTCAAATGGTCCACCTACCAGCAGAGATTTCTTCCTTGACGGAGTCAACGCTCGATGCAATTTCTGACAGGAATTTCGCCTCCGCGTTGGTGGTTGGAAATAAGTGAGAGTATGCTGGAAACTGTAGAATTGGGAGAGTTCTCTGGCCGAAGAAACGATGAGCAAGAGGAACTTGATTCTGTAGGCTAGAAACTGTTTCTTTGCACTGCGAGGCGAGAAAGTCCTGAGACCAGTTAGCCCATGGTCTTACTTTTATGATATGATATTCCAAGGAATCTTGAACTTTGATATTTCATTCATGTATGTCTCGTGTCGGGTTCGATAGAAGAGCTTTGGAGTATTTTGTAGTTCGGCTCGCTTCCGGGTGTTTAGGATAACGCGATTAGAACATCATCTCTTTGCTCGGAGCCTTACAATTTCAAAGTTGATTGCAGACTCCCGTACCAATCGCAGCTCAGCCGGGGAACGCCCAGATAATATCAGAACCTCTTGGAGTTGTTTTGGTGATATCAGCATGGAACTACCCTGTCTGTGAGTATTTATCTTCGTCATGTGTTTGTCCCTCGCTCTTGATCAATTGTGTTCATATTCATAGTGCTAAATCCAGGCATTTCGGAAGCATGGTATGCTTCCATATTGCTGATCAAAGTCCTCATGTTGTTGTCTTTCAGGGCTTTCCCTGGAGCCGGTCTTAGGTGCCATCGCGGCTGGAAATTGTGTTGTGTTGAAGCCCTCCGAGCTTGCTCCCGCTGTCTCAGCGCTACTTGCGAAGTACATTCCACTGTACGTAGACTCGAGTGCAGTCAAAGTGGTGGAAGGTGGAATTCCAGAGACCACAGAACTTCTCGAGCAGAAGTGGGATAAAATCTTCTACACAGGTATGTATTTGAATCAGATCTTCAGTACTAAGGCAATGCACAATCATCAGGAAAATTATTAGCAATGAAATGTTACTTTTCGCGTTGTCATTCATATCTCCCTCCTCAGCTAACCCGGTGGGATCAACTCTTGCAGAAGCTGACGTGAAGTTGTTCTTTGCGCAGGAAATGGAAGAGTAGGAAGAATTATTTTGACGGCTGCTGCGAAACATTTGACCCCTGTGGTCTTAGAATTGGGCGGCAAATCACCTGTTATTGTCGACTCCACAGCTGACATTGAGGTAAATTATCACAGTGAGAGTTGCGGTCGTCTTGTAGATGTGTTTCATCATCGTCCGTGGAAAGAATTTGCCCGTCCTTTCGAAACAACCTCATTTTGTAAGAACGTGTATAATTTCTAGATCTCGTATTTAGTTGTCATTATTTGTCATTTTCAGCACTTTGAATTTTGACTTACGAGAATCTCATCCTGCACATCCTGGTGTAGGTAGCAGCAAGGCGTATTTCCTGGGGAAAGTGGGCTAGTAATAACGGGCAGGCTTGCATCTCTCCGGATTACATTCTAGCTGAAGAGTCAATTGTACCTAAACTGGTAAGTATATGCGCACCGTAGTTTCTCTGACATTTGTAACCTGATTTGACGTAACTAAGTCGACGGCTGGATCGGTTAGGCAGTTACTCCGAATATGAAAGAGTGTATATTAGAAAAAAATGAAAATGTGACTGACTCTTTACTGTCTTTCTTAGGCTAGATGATGAAGAGTTATTGATATTAGTGAATGCGGCTTAGAAGAAAGGTACATAAGGCGCGTCGTGATTTAATTCCATCTGTGATCTGTGATCTGTGATCAAGAAGATGTTATCTTACAGCTTGGGTTGCAGTCATAGTCTGACCTGAGAACCACATTTTAACCTTCAGTCAGATAAAATTCAACGCATAGCGCAGTACCTTGCGGAGTAATTGATTTTCCGATGGGCGACCAACCTACCAAAGATTAGCACTTCGTACAATATTTTCTAGTAATTATTGCCAGTCCTACAACTTAGACACCCTAATTGAATCCCTACAATGCAAGCTAAAGTTCTCATGAATGCTGATAACAATTAGAGTTTCAAAATTAGCTTCACTGCTCGTTATTGTTCGCATTGCCTCAACCTTGGTCTTCTCGTTAGCCTTTGGAACAATCAATCTGCTGTATAGTTCTTCAAGCAGCCATTTCCTTCTTTTGAAAACCAGAAATGCAGCTGCATACTTCTCACTGAACCCCAGTTCGAAATTTTGAATTGTTCTTACTGTAGATCAGCAACCTCAAGGACAGTTTGAAGGCGTTTTATGGGGACGATGTTTCCAAGGGTGAGATATCTCGGATCGTCAACAAAGTGCATTATAATCGACTTCTGGGTTTAGTGAACGAGGAAAGAACGTTGGACAAGGTCGTTCACGGGGGAGAGACGAATGAGAACAATCTGTAAGCACATATTTTCTTTCGGATGAAGTCTTCTGGTCATATTAGTGTTTGCGCATAGAAGCGGAAAACAAGCATGATGTTAGGCTGTCTGTCATCTTGACAACGTCCGTACTTAATCTTTCAAACATAAAGGTCGTTTGGGAATAAAGTATATCTAATATTAATTTTCTTGAAAAACTTCCAGGTACATTGCTCCAACTATTATTCTGGATCCTCCTCAAGATTCACCGATCATGCAGGAAGAAATTTTTGGTCCTCTGCTGGTGATCCTAACTGTAAGTGCTCCCGCAGTGCATCTTTTTTTGTTTGTACGTAATGTTGTTTGCTTGCGCCATGCAGTGTACAGACGGGTGTAGCTTTTGAGTTTCACCGTGCAAGGAAGATGATTTTGAGCTCAGTGTTACTGGTTATGTAGTTGGATCACATCGGAGTCCTTGAAGAATCTACCCGAAGTTGTCTCACTCAACCCTAATGCCTGGTCCGTCCTTGATGAAACAGGTCAAAAGTGTCGACCAGGCGATCAAGTTTGTAAACTCCAGACCAAAACCACTAGCGCTCTATGTCTTCAGCAATAGCAAGGCTGTTCAGCAACAAGTTATCGAAGAGACCTCATCGGGAGGGGTGACTGTCAACGATACTATGCTTCATGTAAGGAACAACAGAGCCCATAAATCTGGACAAATCTACATGCTGGATTTACCTTGGTAATAGGTTAAAAGTTCTTACTCCTGTAGCTACTTCATGTGCCACAGTTTCGTAAATAATCTCCTTTGCCTTCCATGTCTTTTTTGACCCATTCTCAGGTGGCAACAAGCGGCCTACCTTTTGGGGGCGTTGGAGATAGCGGCATGGGAGCTTATCATGGTGTTCACTCATTCAATGTCTTCAGCCACAAGAAGGCGGTTCTATACAGAGGTTTCAGGGCAGATAACTCAATAAGATATCCTCCCTACACCAACAAGAAGCAAAGACTGATTAGAGCCCTAATGTCAGGCAACTTCCTCGGCCTGATTCTCATTTTGATAGGTTTGAAATGAGCAAACTGGTTCGAGAAGAGAATCTGATTTCCTACAGAGCATAGGAACCTGCCTACATTGTCAAGGTGAGGAACAAGCCCTGAGTACTAACCTGGATAAACTGACAGCGAGGGGTAGCGCGCACGTATGGAGATCAACAGTGAGGAATCCAGAATCCCACAGCTATGACTGCTATAAGCCAAACGTAGATATCTTATCATCGCCTCGTTCCGAGGAAGAATGCAAAAGATCTAAGATCATTCTGGCCCTGCACTCAGTCCCTATTCATCATGTACACATGCAGGTCCTCTGCTTACTACCTTCGGGTCTTAGAATTCCGAGCTCTTTGTAGTGTTCGTAGAAGCTGATTCGTTGTACCATACGCTGAATACATACAACCATCATTTGTTTGGTACCAACATGACATTTCATTAAGCTCCAGTCCTATAGGTCTATGCCAGTTGAGATGATGTAAGGTTGCTGTATAATAATTTCAAATTCAGTTTAACCTCGCCCAGCTGTTGGATTGCCTTGGATCATTGAAGGGTTCGATTTCAAGTTTGGTGTCATTTCCATGTTCACCGTTGTTGATAATAGTCGCTGGTGTTGAAGTTCTCATATACGTGAACGAAGTTAGCATGACATTCTGAGCTTAATTTTTTCCGTTTTTGGAATTGTTGCAAGAAAGTAATCATCCGAGCGTGTCAAGCACACGTGAAGAATTATCTTTTTCTGCTACAACTGACTTTAGGCATGTGATGAATGGAAAGTCCACTAAAAAATACCGAAAAATGCAACAAAATTGAGCTTCTCCGAGAGCATATTCTGTGAAGCTTCAGGACGCTCGTAGTGCACCAAACCGAGTAAAGTCATGAGTTGTTGCTTATAATCCAAATGTAAGCAGCCATGATTTGAGCAGACCACTAGAATTGGTAAGCCTTCGATTAAAAAAGGCCGATTTGGAGGGCATCTTCTTGTCTACCGTTGTTGCAGCTCATCTTCTTATGTGTTCAGACATTGACTATTTAGCACTAAAATAAACACGATGTCCAAGTTGATATCGACTCTTTGGGTTACAAATGATTTATCATGGATTATTTCAAGCACTTCTCTATTACTTGTGAACGGAACATGACATTGCACAAAGGACTCAAACACGATGCATGTGAGAATTTTGCTGATTTTGGAGAAGCAAATTATTGTAGTAGAAATTGCTGTCTTAAAGGTGACCACCCCGACGTCTAAAGTGAAGGGATTCCATTATGGTGGGTTTAGGGTTTAAACCTAAACCAAACACTGGGCTTCTGCAGAAACAAAACTGCGCAATTGACGTTTAATTCAAAGATTATAAAAGACTGCAACTGTTGAAAACTGTAAGGAATATCTTACAGAGTTGTGTATTGCATGAGGGTCTAAACATATGCTTGTCAACAATTGCAAAATGACATTCTAAACTTTTAAAATTCCTAACATGTCAAAATGCCAGACCTAAGACCTTTATTCAGACACTCCTTGCACACCCATGCATGCCCACCTAATTCTAGACTCAGGTATTTCACCTGATACAACTTGAAGATTGCCGAATAGCTATCTCGAAGCTGAGGCGCAAGAGTTTGCTGAATCCTCAACCATGCTTCTTTGAGCTCCATGCTTTTCCCACCTTGTAGAACTGCCCTATTGCCATCTAGATTAACAATATCATATTTTAAATCTACCCAGTCCGGAATGGCTTGGCCCAACCCCAGGGTCACATCTAGTCTAGCCATCACAACATAACGCATGACTTTGAGTGAAATTTCAATGATTTTGCTAATCCACGTGCGATTATACATATCCACACGTATCTTCAAACCTTCTTGATCTTTGACGGGGTGAAATCCAGTCGCCGACTCACACATCAAGTGTAACAGAACAGTGTTCCCTAAATGCAGAACTGCACTCATCCTATAGAAAAGGCCAACCTCATTCGTAATGTAAGGTCGCTTGGGGGTTCTGGCCTGCTGAAACTCTTGAGAATAATCGATCAACCTGTCCACTGTAGACATGAAATCACTCAGCGTTGACTGCAGTTCATGTTGTAGAGAAAGTGTCTGTTCCATCTTCATCTCCACTCTTTGCAAATTGCTCTGCAGAGATCTCATTCTCTCATCCACCCAATCAAACTTTTGTACTAGCTCTCCTTCTGTCTGACCGATCTTGAACAAAACAAGTTGTGTCGAACGATTTTCCACACTTGTGCTCATCCGACTTAAAGAACTGGAGGAAGGTCGATTGGAGTCTTTCATATCAGAAAAATTTGAATTGGTTACCATGTTATCATTTTCAGGGTAAGAATAAATCAAATCATTGTTCAGTTCGATCAAACCTTGGTGCAAACCTTGGCGCAATGGCTCCAATTTTTGCATTTGCTTCTGTCGGATCTCATTCACAACCGCCTCCACATCGCTCTCCCACAACAATTCCCTCGCTCTTTCGAATATAACCTCTGGTATGTGCCCTTGAATGAAGGGCCAAGAGTGCTCATAGTCGAACAACCCTTCCTTCTTCTCCCAAAGCCACTCATCCAGCGAAATATCCTCAAGTTTTTCATTGATGCTATGAATGAACTTCGATTTGAGATCCTCTATAAGAATTGCCCCTCTCATATGATTCGGAATCAGCATCTTCACGCAGAGTGTTTGGATTACACCAAGCACTAACGCCACACCGGGACAACCTTTGGGTGATGCGCAAAATGATATCAACTCCTCGACGATATGGTTCATCACGTATTTTCGCGCCAACTCCCTTGACTTATGCTCAGAACATAACATGAGAACATCAACATATTTGTGATTCCTTCCTTGCTGGACATAAATTTGATGTCCATCCAAGAAGAGTCGTAGATAATGTCGAGAGCAGATTACAGACTCCTTGGAAACTTCCATCTCGAAAATCAACTTGCGTCTCATGAACATCTACAATGATACAAAATTAGTGAATGTTTAAGTGGGACATTTGAATAATTTGAGAGATACAATAGCATGGAAATATTCTATTGACTATACACAAATTACAATCGGAACTTGACGCATTCAATATTTTCACAGTGTTTATGAAATCATGATTCAATCTCACCTGGAAGCGTTGAAAAAAGGAATCAGTCAGTGACATTGTTTGTACATCTTCGCATTGAATCCGAATGCCGACAAACTGTGAAGTCTCAACCGTATTTTCCCAAGACATCTTCTGCGCCTGTTCCTCCATGCTTGCATGCTCAGGGATGAAGTAAGGAATGTAATACTGAGAAATATCTTCCAGCTTGAAACACAAATCTAAATTGATAAGTATGTTTTCAAGCATCTCTTTATCCACACCTCTCCCTCCATGTGATTGCTTTCGCAGAACCTCATCTATCAACTGAGCAAATACCCTGTCACTCACAAATCCGTCCTTGTTTGTGAATGAGCTCGTTTCATCAGAAGATTCTGTCTTTTGAGGTTGAAAGTGCTGACCTATAGCTATCAAATGACCCAAAATTGTATTTGTGAGCCAGTTTGGATCTACAATGATGTAATTAACATTGGGAATGTATATGATAGATCCTACATCATTCAAATAAGATATGATTGATGTATTCATCCTAAAATGATCAACAGAGGAATGACAAATGACAAAATGATCAACAGAATCACAAAAGTCATGAAACTTTTTGGATGACCAAATAGGGCACTTTTTGCTATCCTTGGTTTTTGTAACTAAGAGGGATGTGAGTTCAGAACACAAATGGGGAACCAGTGGAGAATTTTCTGTCAATGACACCTCCAAGATGTCAAAAATGTGATTTTTGACAGGAGAAACTTGCTTTTTTTTCCGAGCATCAACAAGAAACCATTCTTGGTTCAGCTTCACATATTTTGCAAATTTTTTGGCAACCTCATCCACTATGGTATTAGCCCAAGTGAAAGATTCGTCTTTGAGTTTATCCTTGTGTGACATCACAACAAGAACTTGTGGAAGACTATGTCTGATGACTCTAGAGCTGGATGAGATGAAACACATACATTCTTCCAACTCTCTCAGAAAACAAGATTGTGGTTTGATGCTAGATGTTATCTCACAAAAGAGGCTATACACAAATAGAAAAATAGAAAAATTGTTGGTTTGAGGGAATAGCATAGTTGGAAGTGTGCGGAAAATTCCTTGTCCCGCAAAATCCCAAATTGAGATTTGCCTTGTCTCATCATTTTGCAAGAACTCCTCTTTAATGCCCACAGATTTTCGCACTTTTCCACACATGTCCCGGAGCCAACTTTGGCCTTGAACTATACTCATCAAGGTTTGACGCAATCTAGTCTTGCCTGCAAATTGAATAAAAATAATCACAATAAATACAACTTGTTACTTTACAAATGCTTTTAGTTTATCTTCTTCACGAAGTAACGTGAAGAGATATTTGTTTCCAACAATTTCTAATTGTACCAAAAAGTTGACATTATCTAAATTTTATATCTTGAATCGGATTGTGGATGCTATTATATTCGTCCATATCCGTAGTATTTTTCAGAATATTATCAATATTTCTTGATCTAAACCTTATAACTTTAAGCTTAATTTTTTAGAAAAGTAAAACCTTGTTTGCATAGATTGAGAAAAAGACTGAGAACTGACAGAGCACATTACCTGCTCTAGGAGAGCCGCACAAAAAGAGTCCACCAGCTTTCGCCTCTCCAAATGTTAAGTTTGCTTCTCTGAAGACACCCATGTAGCAGGCCCGGTTCTGGTTTTCCCGTAGGGCCTGTTGAATAAGCGCCTTCTTTCCGTCCTTTGCCCATACGGTTCGTGAGACATCTATTTGCTCGAGAGTCAAGTTCACTTGCAACATATCCATCAGTTCCCTGAACGCCTCGTCATCGAGTCCGGAATCAGACAAATCCAAGTGAGTAACACTTGTGTTCTCCCGTAAGCAACAAAGCAGGTACTTCCACACTCCCTTCAAAGTATCTCTGCTTTCAACAAATAATCTCAGTCTCTTCAGGACTGAGACTGAAGTTTCTCCAGGATTTCCATCCATGGGGACGATACCTTCCATTCTATCATGGTTGCAAGAACATCTAAAAAATAGAATCAAAGATTCTAGAGATTTGATATTTCCGCGCAATACCCTACCCACAAAGTTGAGTGCTGGCATCAATGCATCGTAATCATTGAATGTGATTATCAGCTCCAGTGTGGGGACCTTGACACCTGAGCTAGCAGCACACGCAAGCTCTTCTACTCCCTTCTTTGTGAAGGAATCTTTGTGATCCATGGAATGGATTACGCGAATCGTTCTTGCTGTAGCATTCTCGCTTATGGCTTCGCCCAGTTGACGCCATTCCTCGAGACGCATGTCGATGGCGGCCAACGTCACTTCCTTCAAGTACGGGTTGGATCTCAGAAGTTCTCGTAAACAGTCTCCGAATCCAGACACGGAAATTAGATGAAGACATTCAATAGCTCGATTGCCATCATCTCCATCCAATGCCTTCAGCAAGAAGGCCGACGCTTCGCCCTTCACCTCATTTAGAACCAATTTTTTCAAAGACCTTCTCTGGATCAAAGCATGCGACAGGGTTCTAGCGGCCTCCTCATCCATGTCGTACATGCGGCCCCCTGAACCCCCTATTTCCAAAGTTTCTAATCGAGTAGCACTGCTGATCATGTCAGCAATATGCCTCACCGCACTCGAGTCCTCCCATGCATTTCGTAGCTCAAAAGACTCGAGTTCACACTCGTCATTTCCTCGCAGTCCTGCTGCGAGATACAAGTAACATGTGGCACTCAATCTGCAATTGACTATTGTCAAATTTTTCACGCGAGAGGTCGACAAAATTCTCCCCAGCTCTAAACATAACCTCTCCACTTCATCACCGGATCTCCATCTCAATTCTCCAACTCTTATCGCTCGTAGAACGGTGCTTCTCCTAAAACCTCTCAAAAGTATCTCCCACTCCCTAGCCGTCAACCTCGATATATCTCCGCCAAAATTTTTTTCTACAGCCAGAGAATGAAAGGTGTTGCAGCTGCCGATTGCCTCCAGCACTCGAAGGCGCACTTCCCCTCGCCACCCTACGTTCGTGGATAGCGATGCACGTTCCGGAAAAAAATCCTGAAAATCTGGTGAGATTAATGTGGGAAGCCACTGTAAAGGCTGGGCTTTGCCTTCCAGACGCTGTATAAGGTTCTGGACAGCAGAAGGAAGCTCCGGTTCCTCGTCTGCCGGGTCCAGTCCCCTAGTCGCAAGTTCAGCAGCATCATCAGTGACGTTTGATTGTGACACACCTGCAGCTTTGATTGTCTGCTCCCTTGTCAGATAGGAAGAACTTTTGCCTCGCGGCCTCTTGTCCACTTTAGAATTGAAAGCACTCAGCATTGCTGCAGTCAACTCTGAGTGCTTTCTCCGCAATTCTTGCTGCAGCAGATACTCTCTCTGCAGAGAGAGTATCTGAACCATCTTCATCTCCATCATCTCCAATCTCTGCAGAGAGAGTGTCTCTCCAATCTTCATCTCCATCATTTCCAAACTCTGCATCTCCATATCCAGAATCTGTATCTCCAATCTGAGAACAATTCGGGTCGAACGATTTTCCACACTTATGCTTTCCTGACTCAACCACTTGGATGTAGATGGTTTGTAGTCTTTCATTTCGAGGATATTCGAGTCGCTTATCGTATTCTCACCTTCAGGGTTCGATTGAGCCAAATCATTGTCCAGGCTATTTGGATCTTCTTGCAATGATTCGAACTTTTGAATTTGTTTCTGTCGAATGCAATCCACAACCGCTTCCACATCGCTCAGCCACAACAAATCCCTAGCTCGTTCGGATATTCCGCCTTCTTGGTTTTCATACCGGGGCCAACGGTGCTCATAGTTGAACAACTCTTCCTTCTTCACCAAGTGAGAACTTTCCAACATCATTTCTTCAAGTTTGTCATTGATGCTACAAATGAAGTCCGATTTCAGCTTCTCGATCAGAATTGCCCTAAAATGACTCGGATTCAGCATCTCCACGCAAAGTGTTTGGATTACACCAAGCACTAACGCCACACCGGGACAGCCTTTGGGTGATGCGCAAAATGATATCAACTCCTCGACGATATGCTTCATCACATATTTCTGCGCCAGCTCCCTCGACTTATGCTTTGAGCATAACATAAGAACATCAACATATTCGTGGTTCCTTCCTTGCTGGACATAAATTTGGTGTCCATCCAAGAAGAGTCGCAGATAATGGCGAGAGCAGATTACAGACTCCTTGGAAACTTCCATCTCGGAAATCAATTTGCGTCTCATGAACATCTACAATGATAAATAATTAGTGAAATGTTCGTGGGACATTCCAATAATTTGAAAGAATTGATGGAATGGAAACATTCTAATCATCACATGCAAATTACAATTAGAACTTGACACATCCAATATCTTCAGTGTATATGAAATCATGATTCAAACTCACCTGGAAGCGTAGAAAAAAAATAGCAGTAAGTGACATTCTTCTTTCATCTTGACATTGAATCCGAATGCCGACAAATTGTGAATTCTCATCCTTATTGTACCAATACATCGACTTGTGACCCCTTTCTTCATGCTTATGCTCCTCCATGCTTGCACGCTTAGAGTCTAAGGAAGGAATGATATACCGAGAAGGATCTTCACCATCTTCTTCACACCTGCAGATGGACACACCTGCAGCTTTGATTGTCTGCTCCCTTGTCAGATAGGAAGAACTTTTGCCTCGCGGCCTCTTGTCCACTTTAGAATTGAAAGCACTCAGCATTGCTGCAGTCAACTCTGAGTGCTTTCTCCGCAATTCTTGCTGCAGCAGATACTCTCTCTGCAGAGAGAGTATCTGAACCATCTTCATCTCCATCATCTCCAATCTCTGCAGAGAGAGTGTCTCTCCAATCTTCATCTCCATCATTTCCAAACTCTGCATCTCCATATCCAGAATCTGTATCTCCAATCTGAGAACAATTCGGGTCGAACGATTTTCCACACTTATGCTCCCTTGTCAGATAGGAAGAACTTTTGCCTCGCGGCCTCTTGTCCACTTTAGAATTGAAAGCACTCAGCATTGCTGCAGTCAACTCTGAGTGCTTTCTCCGCAATTCTTGCTGCAGCAGATACTCTCTCTGCAGAGAGAGTATCTGAACCATCTTCATCTCCATCATCTCCAATCTCTGCAGAGAGAGTGTCTCTCCAATCTTCATCTCCATCATTTCCAAACTCTGCATCTCCATATCCAGAATCTGTATCTCCAATCTGAGAACAATTCGGGTCGAACGATTTTCCACACTTATGCTTTCCTGACTCAACCACTTGGATGTAGATGGTTTGTAGTCTTTCATTTCGAGGATATTCGAGTCGCTTATCGTATTCTCACCTTCAGGGTTCGATTGAGCCAAATCATTGTCCAGGCTATTTGGATCTTCTTGCAATGATTCGAACTTTTGAATTTGTTTCTGTCGAATGCAATCCACAACCGCTTCCACATCGCTCAGCCACAACAAATCCCTAGCTCGTTCGGATATTCCGCCTTCTTGGTTTTCATACCGGGGCCAACGGTGCTCATAGTTGAACAACTCTTCCTTCTTCACCAAGTGAGAACTTTCCAACATCATTTCTTCAAGTTTGTCATTGATGCTACAAATGAAGTCCGATTTCAGCTTCTCGATCAGAATTGCCCTAAAATGACTCGGATTCAGCATCTCCACGCAAAGTGTTTGGATTACACCAAGCACTAACGCCACACCGGGACAGCCTTTGGGTGATGCGCAAAATGATATCAACTCCTCGACGATATGCTTCATCACATATTTCTGCGCCAGCTCCCTCGACTTATGCTTTGAGCATAACATAAGAACATCAACATATTCGTGGTTCCTTCCTTGCTGGACATAAATTTGGTGTCCATCCAAGAAGAGTCGCAGATAATGGCGAGAGCAGATTACAGACTCCTTGGAAACTTCCATCTCGGAAATCAATTTGCGTCTCATGAACATCTACAATGATAAATAATTAGTGAAATGTTCGTGGGACATTCCAATAATTTGAAAGAATTGATGGAATGGAAACATTCTAATCATCACATGCAAATTACAATTAGAACTTGACACATCCAATATCTTCAGTGTATATGAAATCATGATTCAAACTCACCTGGAAGCGTAGAAAAAAAATAGCAGTAAGTGACATTCTTCTTTCATCTTGACATTGAATCCGAATGCCGACAAATTGTGAATTCTCATCCTTATTGTACCAATACATCGACTTGTGACCCCTTTCTTCATGCTTATGCTCCTCCATGCTTGCACGCTTAGAGTCTAAGGAAGGAATGATATACCGAGAAGGATCTTCACCATCTTCTTCACAAGAAGAAGAAGATGGAGAAAATGAAGACTCATGTTCTTCATCTTCTTTTTCATTTTCTCCATCTTCATCAATTCCATCTCCTTCTCCATCTTTTCCATCTTCTTCTTCAGCTTCTCCATCTTCATCTTTTCTATCTTCTTCTTCATCTTTTCCATCTCTTTCTCCATCTTTTCCATCTTCTTCATCTCCTTCTTCATCTTTTCCATCTCCTTCTCCATATTTTCCATCTTCTTCTCCATCTTTTCCATCTTCTTCATCTCCTTCTCCATATTTTCCATCTTCTTCTCCATCTTTTCCATCTTCTTCATCTCCTTCTTCATCTTTTCCATCTCCTTCTCCATATTTTCCATCTTCTTCTTCATCTTTTCCATCTTCTTCTATCTCCATCTTCATCTTTTCCATCTCCTTTTCCATCTTCTTCATCTTTTCCATCTCCTTTTCCATCTTCTTCATCTCCTTCTTCATCTTTTTCATCTTTTTCTTCATCTTTTCTATCTCCTTCTCCATCTTCTTTTCCACTCCTTCTCCATCTTTTCCATCTTCTTCTTCATCTTTTCTATCTCCTTCTCCATCTTCTTTTTCATCTTTCCTATATTCTTTTTCATCTTTTCTATCTCCTTCTCTATCTTCTTCTTCATCTTTTCTATCTATTTCTCCATCTTTTCTATCTCCTTCTCTATCTTCTTCTTCATCTTTTCTATCTACTTCTCCATCTTTTCTATCTCCTTCTTCATCTTCTTTTTCATCTTTTCTATCTCCTTCTCCATCTTTTACATCATCTTGTACATCTTGACATTGAATCCGAATGCTGACCAACTGTGAGGTATCATCTATATTTTGCGAATACGTCGATTCGTGTGCCCGCCCTTGAAGCCTTTGTTTCTCCGTGCTTGGATGCTCAGGTATGAAGAAAGGAATGTAATACTCAAAAGTATCTTCGTGCTTGAAACACAAATCTAAATTGAAAAGTATGTTTTCAAGCATCTCTCTGTCCACACCTCTCTGTCCATGTGGTTGTTTTCGTAGAAACTTCTCTGTCCACCCAACAAAGTCACTCTCACTCACATATCCGTCCTTACTTGTGTAAGAGCTCGTTTCATCAAAAGATTCAAACTTTTGAGCTTGAAAGTGTTGACCCAAATCACCTAACAATGTATGTGCGAGCCAGTTGGGATCCACAATAATGTACTTGACGTTGGGGATGTATATGATGGATCCAACATCATTCATATAAGATATGATTGATGTAATTATACTTGAATGATCAACAGAGGAAGTAGATGATGTAGGAATGAAATGTTTCAAGTGGGAATCACAAAAGTCATGAAACTTTTTTAGTGACCAAATAGGGCACTTTTTGCTATCCTTGGTTTTTGTAACTAAAAGGGATGTGAGTTTGGAACACAAATGGGGAACCAGTGGAGAATTTTTTGTCAATAACACCTTCAAGATGTCAAAAATGTGTTTTTGGACAGGAAGAACTTGCTTCTTTTTCCGAGCATCCACATGAAACAACTCTTGGTTGAGCTTCACATCATTTGCAAAGTTTTTGATAACCTCGTCCACTATGGTATTAGCCCAAGTTAAAGATTTGTCTTTGACTTTATCCTTGTGTGACATCACAACAAGAACTTGTGGAAGACTATGTCTAGTGACTCTACTGTTGGATGTGATGAACTTCATCCATTTTTCCAACTCTGTCTGAAAAGAAAATTCAGGTTTGATACTAGATGTTTTCTCACAAAAGGGGCTATACACAAATTGAAAAACACAAAAATTGGAGGTTTGAGGAAAGATCACATGTTCAAGGGTAACAAAATCCCAAATTGAGATTTGCATTCTCTCATCCTTTTGCAATAACTCCCCTTCAATGCGTAGAGTTCTTAGCACTTTTCCGAGCATGTCCCGGAGCCGACTTTGGCCTTGAACTATCCTCATCAAAGTTTGACGCAATCTAGTCTTGCCTACAAATTGAAGGAAAAAAATAACAACAAATACACCTTGTTACTTAAGATATCTTTACAAATGCTTTCACATAATGTTAATTAAGAAACCCTATGATGAGATATTTGTTTCCAAAAATGTCTTCTTTCACAAGAAAGTTGAAACTATCTAAACGTTCTATCTTGAATCACATTCTGTATAGTTTATATATTTCCCTTTCTGTGATTTTTTTCAAAAAAATTTCAATATGTATCCATCAAAACCTAAACTTTATAAGTTTATAACTAATTTTAGAAAGTAAAACATTTGATTGCTAGTTTTCAAACATTGAGAAAAAGAAATGAGAACTGACAGAGCACCTTACCTGCTCTAGGAGAGCCGCACAAAAAGAGTCCACCAGCTTTCGCCTCTCCAAATGTTAAGTTTGCTTCTCTGAAGACACCCATGTAGCAGGCCCGATTCTGGTTTTCCCGTAGGGCGTGTTGAATAAGCGCCTTCTTTCCGTCCTTTGCCCATGCGGTTCGTGAGACATCTATTTGCTCGAGAGTCAAGTTCACTTGCAACATATCCATCAGTTCCCTGAACGCCTCGTCATCGAGTCCGGAATCAGACAAATCCAAGTGAGTAACACTTGTGTTCTCCCGTAAGCAACAAAGCAGGTACTTCCACACTCCCTTCAAAGTATCTCTGCTTTCAACAAATAATCTCAGTCTCTTCAGGACTGAGACTGAAGTTTCTCCAGGATTTCCATCCATGGGGACGATACCTTCCATTATATCATGGTTGCAAGAACATCTAAAAAATAGAATCAAAGATTCTAGAGATTTGATATTTCCGCGCAATACCCCCCTACCCACAAAGTCGAGTGCTGGCATCAATGCATCGTAATCATTGAATGTGATTATCAGCTCCAGTGTGGGGACCTTGACACCTGAGCTAGCAGCACACGCAAGCTCTTCTACTCCCTTCTTTGTGAAGGAATCTTTGTGATCCATGGAATGGATTACGCGAATCGTTCTTGCTGTAGCATTCTCACTTATGGCTTCGCCCAGTTGACGCCATTCCTCGAGACGCATGTCGATGGCGGCCAACGTCACTTCCTTCAAGTACGGGTTGGATCTCAGAAGTTCTCGTAAACAGTCTCCGAATCCAGACACGGAAATTAGATGAAGACATTCAATAGCTCGATTGCCATCATCTCCATCCAATGCCTTCAGCAAGAAGGCCGACGCTTCGCCCTTCACCTCATTTAGAACCAATTTTTTCAAAGACCTTCTCTGGATCAAAGCCTGCGACAGGGTTCTAGCGGCATCCTCATCCATGTCGTACATGCGGCCCCCTGAACCCCCTATTTCCAAAGTTTCTAATCGAGTAGCACTGCTGATCATGTCAGCCATATGCCTCACCGCACTCGAGTCCTCCCATGCATTTCGTAGCTCAAAAGACTCGAGTTCACACTCGTCATTTCCTCGCAGTCCTGATGCGAGATTCAAGTAACATGTGGCACTCAATCTGCAATTGACTATTGTCAAATTTTTCACGCGAGAGGTCGACAAAATTCTCCCCAGCTCTAAACATAACCTCTCCACTTCATCACCGGATCTCCATCTCAATTCTCCAACTCTTATCGCTCGTAGAACGGTGCTTCTCCTAAAACCTCTCAAAAGTATCTCCCACTCCCTAGCCGTCAACCTCGATATATCTCCTCCAAAAATAATTTTTGTGTCCAGAGAATGAAAGGTGTTGCAACTGCCGATTGCCTCCAGCACTCGAAGGCGCACTTCCCCTCGCCACCCTATGTTCGTGGAGGGCGATGCATGTTCCGGAAAAAAATACTGAAAATCTGGCAAGGCTAATATGGGAAGCCACCGTAAAGGCTCGCCTTCTCCTTCCAGACGCCGTATAAGGTCCTTGACAGCGGAAGGAAGCCCCGGTTCCTCGTCTGCCGGGTCCATTCCCCTAGTCGCAAGTTCAGCAGCGTCACTGACGATGGACACACCGGCAGCTTCAATTGTCTGCTCCCTTGTCCAACAGCAATAACGTTTGCGCGGCCGAAATGTGAACGCGGCTACAGGAGACCCTCTCCTAGATCAGTAGGCTCACACGAGGAGAACTAAACTTTAACTCGTGTCACAACTCAGTGCATGTGCGTGCTGGGCATGAGAATTCTTGCGTGGTTCAAGAGTAGCCACCCATAGAAAATTCGAAGCACTGCAGAGCAATAATCAGAAAAGCAGTGAGATTGAGCATAGTGTAATCTGGAGGCAGATCGAACTCAGCGGAGGTTACGAATAGCGATGTCAATCAAAATAAAGCAAAGCAAAGCAGAGAAGTACTATCCTTGTTACAAGGGAAATCTTAGACCGTTGTGCAAAGAGAGAGGTGTTTGATTTTCACTTGGTTACCTTACTGAGTGGACAAGCTCATAGCTCTGCAGATGAATCTGAAATCCATGAAATTTCTTCTTGCTGGGAATGAGAATCCTTGCGTGATTCAAGAGTAGCCACCCATAGAAAATTCGAAGCACTGCAGAGCAATAATCAGAAAAGCAGTGAGATTGAGCATAGTGTAATCTGGAGGCAGATCGAACTCAGCGGAGGTTACGAATAGCGATATCAATCAAAATAAAGCAAAGCAAAGCAGAGAAGTAGTATCCTTGTTAAAAGGGAAATCTTAGACCGTTGTGCAAAGAGAGAGGTGTTTGATTTTCACTTGGTTACCTTACTGAGTGGACAAGCTCATAGCTCTGCAGATGAATCTGAAATCCATAAAATTTCTTCTTGCTGGGAATGAGAATCCTTGCGTGATTCAAGAGTAGCCACCCATAGAAAATTCGAAGCACTGCAGAGCAATAATCAGAAAAGCAGTGAGATTGAGCATAGTGTAATCTGGAGGCAGATCTAACTCAGCGGAGGTTACGAATAGCGATATCAATCAAAATAAAGCAAAGCAAAGCAGAGAAGTAGTATCCTTGTTACAAGAGAAATCTTAGACCGTGTGCAAAGAGAGAAGTGTTTGATTTTCACTTGGTTACCTTACTGAGTGGACAAGCTCATAGCTCTGCAGATGAATCTGAAATCCATAAAATTTCTTCTTGCTGGGAATGAGAATCCTTGCGTGATTCAAGAGTAGCCACCCATAGAAAATTCGAAGCACTGCACAGCAATAATCAGAAAAGCAGTGAGATTGAGCATAGTGTAATCTGGAGGCAGATCGAACTCAGCGGAGGTTACGAATAGCGATATCAATCAAAATAAAGCAAAGCAAAGCAGAGAAGTAGTATCCTTGTTACAAGAGAAATCTTAGACCGTGTGCAAAGAGAGAGGTGTTTGATTTTCACTTGGTTACCTTACTGAGTGGACAAGCTCATAGCTCTGCAGATGAATCTGAAATCCATGAAATTTCTTCGTGCTGGGCATGAGAATCCTTGCGTGGTTCAAGAGTAGCAACCCATAGAGTACTCCAAGCTCTGCACATAATCGTATCCAGAGCAATAATCAGGAAAGCAGTAAGATTGTGCATAGTGTAATCTGGAGGCAGATCGAACTCAGCGGAGGTTACGAATAGCGATGTCAATCAAAATAAAGCAAAGCAAAGCAGAGAAGTAGTATCCTTGTTACAAGAGAAATCTTAGACCGTGTGCAAAGAGAGAGGTGTTTGATTTTCACTTGGTTACCTTACTGAGTGGACAAGCTCATAGCTCTGCAGATGAATCTGAAATCCATGAAATTTCTTCGTGCTGGGCATGAGAATCCTTGCGTGGTTCAAGAGTAGCAACTCATAGAGTACTCCAAGCTCTGCACATAATCGTATCCAGAGCAATAATCAGGAAAGCAGTAAGATTGTGCATAGTGTAATCTGGAGGCAGATCGAACTCAGCGGAGGTTACGAATAGCGATGTCAATCAAAATAAAGCAAAGCAAAGCAGAGAAGTAGTATCCTTGTTAAAAGGGAAATCTTAGACCGTGTGCAAAGAGAGAAGTGTTTGATTTTCACTTGGTTACCTTACTGAGTGGACAAGCTCATAGCTCTGCAGATGAATCTGAAATCCATAAAATTTCTTCTTGCTGGGAATGAGAATCCTTGCGTGATTCAAGAGTAGCCACCCATAGAAAATTCGAAGCACTGCAGAGCAATAATCAGAAAAGCAGTGAGATTGAGCATAGTGTAATCTGGAGGCAGATCGAACTCAGCGGAGGTTACGAATAGCGATATCAATCAAAATAAAGCAAAGCAAAGCAGAGAAGTAGTATCCTTGTTACAAGAGAAATCTTAGACCGTGTGCAAAGAGAGAGGTGTTTGATTTTCACTTGGTTACCTTACTGAGTGGACAAGCTCATAGCTCTGCAGATGAATCTGAAATCCATGAAATTTCTTCGTGCTGGGCATGAGAATCCTTGCGTGGTTCAAGAGTAGCAACCCATAGAGTACTCCAAGCTCTGCACATAATCGTATCCAGAGCAATAATCAGGAAAGCAGTAAGATTGTGCATAGTGTAATCTGGAGGCAGATCGAACTCAGCGGAGGGTGCGAATAGCGATGTCAATCAAAATAAAGCAAAGCAAAGCAGAGAAGTAGTATCCTTGTTACAAGAGAAATCTTAGACCGTGTGCAAAGAGAGAGGTGTTTGATTTTCACTTGGTTACCTTACTGAGTGGACAAGCTCATAGCTCTGCAGATGAATCTGAAATCCATGAAATTTCTTCGTGCTGGGCATGAGAATCCTTGCGTGGTTCAAGAGTAGCCACCCATAGAGTACTCCAAGCTCTGCACATAATCGTATCCAGAGCAATAATCAGGAAAGCAGTAAGATTGTGCATAGTGTAATCTGGAGGCAGATCGAACTCAGCGGAGGTTACGAATAGCGATGTCAATCAAAATAAAGCAAAGCAAAGCAGAGAAGTAGTATCCTTGTTACAAGAGAAATCTTAGACCGTGTGCAAAGAGAGAGGTGTTTGATTTTCACTTGGTTACCTTACTGAGTGGACAAGCTCATAGCTCTGCAAATGAATCTGAAATCCATGAAATTTCTTGGTGCTGGGCATGAGAATCCTTGCGTGGTTCAAGAGTAGCCACCCATAGAGTACTCCAAGCTCTGCACATAATCGTATCCAGAGCAATAATCAGGAAAGCAGTAAGATTGTGCATAGTGTAATCTGGAGGCAGATTGAACTCAGCGGAGGTTACGAATAGCGATGTCAATGAAAATAAAGCAAAGCAAAGCAGAGAAGTAGTATCCTTGTTACAAGAGAAATCTTAGACCGTGTGCAAAGAGAGAGGTGTTTTGATTTTCACTTGGTTACCTTACTGAGTGGACAAGCTCATAGCTCTGCAAATGAATCTGAAATCCATGAAATTTCTTGGTGCTGGGCATGAGAATCCTTGCGTGGTTCAAGAGTAGCCACCCATAGAGTACTCCAAGCTCTGCACATAATCGTATCCAGAGCAATAATCAGGAAAGCAGTAAGATTGTGCATAGTGTAATCTGGAGGCAGATCGAACTCAGCGGAGGTTACGAATAGCGATGTCAATCAAAATAAAGCAAAGCAAAGCAGAGAAGTAGTATCCTGGTTACAAAGGAAATCTTAGACCGTGTGCAAAGAGAGAGGTGTTTGATTATCACTTGGTTTCCTTGTCGAGTGGACAAGCTGAGAGCTCTGTTGATGAATCTGAAATCCAAAAGACTGGTTGGTAGGAAAGATGGTCTAATGTGGAAGCAGAATTTCGGGTATTGCATGGAAGCGAAGATTTTTTAAAATGTGAAGCTTTGAGTAGTGTAAAACTGCATGTACAATCGGACTGGAAGACCGTGACGAATTAAGCTGTATCAAGACCCCCGGGAGACAGACCCTACGATGAGTAGGGCGTGGAAAAAACATGCACCGTCTTTAATCAGATATTCTGGTTGAATCGCGTGAGCGGTCGAGGTAACGTCAACATGCCAAAACAACAAGCGTGATCTTCTATAGTCGGTGGGATTGGAAATTGGTCTACGTGGGCAAATGCATCAGTGTGCTCATACACTCTTGTCGTCACGCTGGAAGCAGAGATTTCAAGTTCATTTTCAAAGAATACTTTTTCCTGGAACATTTGATCTATTCCAGCAAGTGGATGTATTCTGACAAATGAGAGGCACATGGGTAGTCAGCTCGGCGGACAAAGCCTGTCGTGCTTTGTTCTTGTTTTGAAGAACGTTAAAGTACGCTACATAACTCTAACGCTGATAACAAACTGATGAACTTTTTGGAGTTTACTAAACTTGATGTTAACATAAGAACATGATGTACAGAATATACGAGTACTGTACTCGAGGTTCTAAACTCCTGTTATGATTGTTCTTCTAGCTCAACTGTCAAGCATGCACAGTCTTGATGAGGTCTTTCGACGTCAAACATTAATATGAATCAGATTTTGTCCGTGCTAAAAGCAATCCTGCTTATTTTTCACATCGTATAAAGCAGGATAGAAACAATATTATACTTGGTAAGGTCAACGTCAATCCTCAAAGAAGTTAGAGTTTTCGAACTAAACTTGCAAGAGAAGAAAAACTGTGTTGTACACCTAATTTTAAAAAAACTTCATGCCATAAATGTTAGATAACAATGAGTCATGACTTGAAATGAAGATCTCGCTTAATATCTGAAAGACAAGACTAGTTTACATGGAAATTCAAATATTTGGTATATTTTCTGAAATGAAACAAGTCATACTGCAAATTTGGCACCAGTATGCTCTAATCCAAAAATGTCAAATGAGAAATTTAAAGAACAATCTATATAGATAAAATTTTTTAAAAGTAAACTATCTTTTCTATGTGTAAATCATATCCACATCTATTTTTTATTTTATAACAATTGAAACTGTGAGTAAATACCTTTCTATTAGATGTGTAGTATGATTTGCATCTTTATTGGATTTTACATCAAATGTCAAAATGTAAGACATAAACAAGCTTGTATAATTTTTTTTCCGAAGGAATTATTCAATGGAAGGGAAAGTTTGTCATTTCTCATTCAATTCTTCATTGAATTAAAGATTTTGACTCTACAAATCTTTGTCTCTTATAGTTTTGAAAAGCATTTGGCCTTAGGATTCTTGGACTCTTTTATTTGGGTGCATCATCAAGAATAATTAAACTAAGTTATTCTTTGATGATGTATGCAACTCAGGTGATGAGATAAATCGGTGGATGTTTAAGAATTTATTACTAAAGTTCAAACAAAGATATTATCATAGCTTCATCAGTAATTCTTTTAGACGTATTTTAATAAAACTACACACATCAAAAACTCTTGTTTCATTTTTCATTCAAGTTAAATTTACATGAAAAGATAAAACGTTAATGAAAAAATCAATGGATAACTTTTAATAATGACCTAATTCCGAATTTCTTCCTCATTCAGGTTCGAAACGAATATTAGAACAAAATACGTGATCTGGAAAGATCACAAGCAGCTTTGGTAGGAACTGACAATGTACTAGACACGATATTTTTTTCTTCTTTTTTTCATGTTACTTGGTTTGGTTGTTGTGTATTTACAACATTGGTACTGCCCAAAGTTCTTCAATTTTGCAAGTGCCATTTAATGTACTTGTAGAATAATTTGATGAAAACTGTTGCGAAATGTTGCGATTGATTCACGATTATTGCATTTACAAGGTTGGTTGAAATTCTCATTGGATGGTTTACTAGGAATATATTTTGATACTCTGAGTATTGTCTTACACTCACTTTAATGACACCAGTACATTCGTACATTGACTTTTAGTATATATTATTTTAGCAAACGCAAAACACTATTCCTTGATATTGAACGCTTCACAAATTATTATATATCCTAGAATTTGTCCAGATGCAACCGGAAATCGTTAAGTATGTTAATTCTCAATTCACTCCACGGGAGAAAGTGAAGATGTTGGGCTCTCAAATTTTGAAGCTTTTTGTGGGACCTTAGCTGACAAGTTCAACGCAAAGGACAATGTATATTGTTTCACTTCCGGCATGTATAGACTTTAGATCTTTATATACTTTAGATATACACTCTAGATCTTTTTTATGGAACCTCAATGGAAAAGAACAATGATTCCACTGCAGAGTCCATCAGAGTCATGCCACAGCTTTCTCTGTATTATTGTTTAACAACCTCAAAGTCTGAGACTCCAACATTACAACCCTCAAAGTCATCCGCCCGGCGAAAGCAGGGGGAATGACTGGATCGCATTCGTTCGTTTTGAGTCATGACCATTGGAAGAAATGAAACTCAAGAGCATTATGTCAACACCCATTATTAAGCATATATGTATTATTCATGCAATCTGACCTCGAAAGACAGCCTGTGCATAAGTTGAAAAAGTTGTTTTCCCTCCAACCCTAGTTCAGCTGAGTTGAATATTTTAGCCCTGTGAAGCTTCGTTCTTGCTTGCGCTTCTTGACTCCACCTTTTACCGACAAGAGTGACGTTAAATCTAGAATAAGGTATATACCCTGTCATGATTCCTCACTCTGTCCACAGGCAGTGACTCGGACGTGATGAAGCTGAAGTTACGTAGTTTGTTCTGAAATAAATGCAACTCTTACGCAGTCGCACCATTTTTCTAGACCATGATGGCCTACGAGACTGCTTTTGAGGCACGATTTCCACGGATCTAGGAAGCAGGTGTCCGGTTGGAGTATGGTTGATTATTTTGGAGCGGCTGGGTGCCGGGAAAAGGACAATCGAATCCGACTGCTTTTCAGGCCCGATTTCCACGGATCTAGTAAGCAAGTGGTCCGCTTGAGTACGGTTGATTATTAAGGAGCGGCTGGGGTCCGGGAAAAGGACAATCGAAGCCGATTGCTTTTCAGGCCCGATTTCCACGGATCTAGTAAGCAGGTGGTCTGTTAGAGTACCGTTGATTATTATATAGCGGCTGGGGTCCGGGAAGAGGACAATCGAATCCGACTGCTTTTCAAGCCCGATTTCCACGGATCTAGAAAGCGGGTGAAAGGAATATTACTGTTCACCATAGCTGCAATCATACGCACATGGTGAGTATAATTGCAACGCTATGACACAGCTGAGTTAGATAGAATGATGTCTTTGTCACTTAAACCTTGAGGTTCATTTTAGTTTTTTCTATGCTTCTTTAAACGTGTCATCGCATATAAAGTCAACGCGCGGATTTCTGTAACCTGTGGTTAGTGATGTAAAATTTCGGAACCATTAATTTCTAGTCTGTAAATCTACTCGATAAGAACTATACGATACTATACAACAATTTCAAAATAAAAAATCCCACCATTATCACAATACATAGTATCATAAATAAAAAAATTGTATCATAAATATATTTAAAGATATATGTCAACAATTCACATTTTCTGGATTTAGGGTTTAACCCTAAATCCATAATTTGCTACATATATTATTATTAATTATTTCACTCAGATTTGTGTATATTAATTTAAATTAAATGCAATTATAATATCCATGTTAACAATATACATATGCAAATGAAGTCCATTTTGAAATCAAACAACACATTATAGAAAATTTTGATGCAATGCACTATAAGAAATTTATGAATTTATTTTTATATAATTGACACCTCCCACTAGTGACATCTAACCCCGATACCATAACTATCATAATTTTAATATAACCTCCTAATAGGAACATACATTGGTATCGGGGTTAGATACCAATGTATGTTCATATTAGGAGGTTATATTAAAATTATGCACCTCTCAACAATAACATCCAATTTTAAGACCAATATATCCGGAGGTTACCCGCAATTTACTCTTGTGAATGATTTAAAACCTAAGTACCAATAGATGTCACTATTGGGAGGTTATCTGCAATGCCTGTCCGGATCGTCTTTCGGGAAGGTTTCCAGGAAAGCACATCTTCCCGACCCTGTCTTTAGACGTGGATACTTCCCATGATCCAATTTCTCAGTGTCGACAAAGGTTTCAAGATCAGTGTCGATTAACAGTTGCAGTTAGAAGACTAAATGCTGGTGGTGATGGGTGACTTACTCCAATGTACTGAAGCGAACAATCCATCTAGAAGGTTTCCTCGAAGTGCTATGGTGGAAACTACAAACCTTTATCGAATCTTCACCACATCGCGGTTGACATGGCGGACTGAATGATTTTGTTGAGTTCGCAAAGGCGAAAGAATTGAACGTGAGTACAGAGAAAGCATGCCAACTTCGTGGTGCTAAGATGAGAGAGTGAGTATTCACCACTTTAAAGCTCACCGCATCATCAATCTCGCCATCAGAAACAGGTCTGTTGGCCAGATCTGCACCACGTTGGAATATACGCCCATTCCCAGGAATATCCGAGTATCAGCGAGCAAAATGTCCATTAATGTATACTAGGACAGACTTTCCTGCACCTGATTTCAGCGTTGGCACATGTACGAATTGATGGATTTCCACTAC